TTTTTTTTTTTTTTTTGTTCTAGGATCTTGATTATTCGTTGGGCCCGGCTGTCTAGGGCACATTTTGAACCTACCTACCTAAGGGGGGAATGTGGGCCTGACTCAATACCGTATAGACCGATCACTTTAGTGTTTACTTACGCAACATCTCATCCCTTCGGAAGATGCAAATGAATGTTTGGTTTGCATTAATTATTTTTTCTTTTTGGTTAAACCTCTAATTTAGTCCCTAAACTATTATATGGACTTTTGATTTGGTTCTTAAACTAAAAAAATTTCTGATTTGATTTCTGAACTATTGTACGGACCCCAATTTGGTCCCCCCAAGTTAGTTCTTTCATACCAAAAAAAAGCTGACATGTCTATTATTTAACGATAAAAAATAATAACCAACAACCTGTTGGTTCGAGTGGAAGGAGCTCGGTTTCCCTTAAGCAAGATCTCGAGTTCAAGTCTTGTGAATGGAAAAACAGGTGCTGGGAGAGCTTCCCCCCATATGGGGTCCGACCCGACTCGATTCTGAATTAGTCAGGGTCCAATGTGGTTTCTGGATACCAGAAGGTTAGTACAAAAAAACAGGATAAAAAATAATAACTTAATAACAAAAAATAGTAACTTAACAATCACATATTATGTTAATAATAAAATACGTCAGTTGGTTTTTGTACGGAATGATTAATTTGGGGTAAATTGGTAAATAATAAGACCAAATCGGGGGTTCATATAATAGTTTAGAGATCAAATCAAAAAAATTTTTAGTTTAAAAACTAAATTAAAAGTCTATACAATAGTTTAAAAATCAAATTAAATATTTAATATTCCTTTTTCAGGTCTCTTCGTACATCGTGGGCTCAAACTTCAAGATTTAGGGACCAGGCCTCGTAAATCAATTATTAAATGTATTTAATGTTTTAGTGATGACTAAAATTTAAATTATAATATTATTATATTAATTTTTTTTATTCTCAAATTATACTTATTTAATAAAAAAATTAAGATTTAAATTTATTAAAAAATAAGTGTAGTTTAATAAGTGTAAATTTAAAAGTTATATTAATAATATATAAAAAAGTATATTAATTTTGAATTTTAAAATAAATTAAAATTTTAATTTTGAATGATATTTTTTTATTTAATTAAAATCTAATTTAAA